GAAGGTACCAAGCTGCAGTAGTCAATTTTGCTAGATTTCCCATCTACTAATAACGAGGCCGAGTATGAGGCGATGCTCGCCGGACTTCGGCTAGCTAAACAGCTACAGGTACGATGTTTAAAAGTTTTTAGTGACTCACAGCTTGTGATCAATCAAGTGACAGGGCAATATTCTCCTAAGGAGGAACGTATGAAGTCATACAAAGATGCTGTAGAGAGTGTTATCCGGGAGTTCGATCAAATCGAATTCCATCAGGTACCACGAGATGAAAATGCCGAAGCAGATCGATTGGCCGCAGCCGCATCATCTTCAGATGAAGAGTTGATTCGGCTTGTTCCAATCGATGTTCTCGAAGAACCCAGCATTAATCCCCGGTAAGAGGTGATGGTGATCCCGGAAGTACCACGCGAGCCCTGCTGGATTGATCCAATCGAGGCCTACCTCAAGGAAGGGGTTCTCCCGAATCAGAAAGCTGAGGCAAGGAAGCTTAGGCTTACCGCGGCTAAGTACGCAATCATCAATAACCAGTTGTACCGAAGGTCATTCTCCGGTCCCTATCTCAAGTGTTTAACCCCTACTGAGGCTCTCACGATTCTAAAACAAGTTCATGAAGGAGATTATGGAAACCACTCCGGAGGAAGATCCCTTGCACACAAAATTCTAACCCAAGGTTATTTCTAGCCATACTTGGCTCGGAATGCCGAGGAATACTCAAGACGATGTGACAAGTGTCAGCGCCATGGTCCAATAAAGCACCAACCTGCCAAAGGTTTGCACGCCATGGCTAATCCGTGGCCGTTCGCCCAATGGGGGATTGATATAGTAGGACCATTACCCAAAACCATGGAAAAAAAGGAACATGTGCTTCTGGCTACGGATTACTTCACCAAGTGGGTGGAAGTAGAAGCCTTCTCTAGCGTCACCCACGAAGAAGTAAAGCATTTCATTTGGAGCAACATTATTTGCCGGTTTGGGGTACCAAAAGTCATCGTAATGGACAATGGTAAGAACCTCGATAACAGAAGTACAAGGAAATTCTTTAGCGAACATGGAATCCTGCAAAAATTGGCTGCAGTTAGTCATCCACAAGGCAATGGGCAAGCTGAAATAACTAATCACACGATATTCGGGTGCTTAAAGAAAAAATTGGAGAAATTGAAGACAAAGTGGTACGAGAATCTCCCTCAAGTGCTTTGGGCCTATCGAACCACTCCAAGACGACCCACGGGAGAAATCCCATTTGCTATGGCATATGGATCCGAAGCTGTCATTCCTACCGAGTCCATAATCCCAACCCTTCGGACATCCTTGGTACTGGAGGGGAACAATGAGCAACAACTCGAACATAGCCTTGATTTGGTGGACGAAAGGAGAGATGCAGCAGCAATTCGTCTCGCGGCATACCAACAGCAGGTGTGTAACAGTTATAACAAACGCGTCAGATTCAGGAGCTTTGTGGTAGGCGATTGGGTTTTGAAGTAGGAGACAGCTCATGTAAAGAAACTAGAACCTAATTGGACCGGACCCTACAGGGTTACCAAAGTAGTGGGGAAAGGAGCATATCGTTTGGCCGAAGCTGGCGGACGTCCCATTGCGCGTCCTTGGAACGCAATACACCTGAAAAGGTATTTCCATTAGTTAAGTTTGTCCATTTTGCTACAACTTCTTCACAAATAAAGCTACGTATGTCCACAGTCAGACAGGCTTTTCTTTATTTTGCTATTTTTGTTTCTTTTTATAAAAATGGGGGGCCATACTATGCATGGCATTTCGTCTGATTTTTTCAGTCTGATTTTTTCACAAAAAAAAAAAAAAAAAAAAAAAAGCAACAAAACATGAGTTATGGCCTGTGCTTAAACCTTTCTATCCCACATCGACAAAAAAGTATGTGCCACATTCTGTTATATATGGAAATATTCAAATAGTTAATTACGGTGTAAGGAGGGCCCACTGGTATTTAAGGCTGTCAAGCTCAATACCAGAGGCATTCCTTACACCGACCTTTTTGACAAAATTTAGTCTATGTCCCACATCGGATAGAAATAGAAAAGAAATGTGGTTCATATATGCGTGGTCCACAACATTTGGTTGCCAAGAAGGGAGTATCAGTGGAGGCAGGTCTCTAAAGTCAACAAATGGAAAACTTCACAGCCACTGTTACTCGCTTTCTTAGCCTCCTATCATTTTTGAGTCCTCGGCCTCATGATAAGTGGTTTGAGGAAAAATGTAAAACAAACCTCCCCTCAGGCTCAGCGCCGGGGAGTAATTCATTCGCCTTGGACCTTAAGTGTCCAGTTCGGCACAACCTCCCCTCAAGCTCAGCGCCGGGGAGTAGTTCTCTCGCCTCGGACCCTAAGTGTTAGGCTCGGCAAGAATCTCGCCTCGGACCCTAAGTGTTCGGCTCGGCGAAAATCACGCCTCGGACCCTAAGTGTTCGGCTCGGCAAGAATCTCGCCTCAGACCCTAAGTGTTCGGCTCGGCGAAAATCACGCCTCGGACCCTAAGTGTTCAGCTCAGCGAAAATCACGCCTCGGACCCTAAGTGTTCGGCTCGGCGAAAATCACGCCTTGGACCCTAAGTGTTCGGCTCGGCAAGAATCTCGCCTCGGACCCTAAGTGTTCGGCTCGGCGAAAATCACGCCTTGGACCCTAAGTGTTCGGCTCGGCAAAACCCCCCTCCGGCTCCACGCCAGGGAATGTATAATTCGCCTCGGATCCTAAGTATCCGAGACAGCTTCGGACCCTAAGTGTCCTATTCAGCACTAGTCCTCCACGACTCAGTGCCGAGGGATAATTAGCCTCGAATCCTAAATATCCGAGATAGATCTGGACCCTAAGTGTCCTATTCAGCAATATTCCTCCACACTCAGTGCCGAGGAGTATTCACTTTAGACCTCTGGTACCCGGATCAGAACTCTTTCCTCCGGACTCCAAGTGTTTAATACCCTGTGGATGCGGATACATCATAAGTTCATCATACTCCACCCCACATCAGGAACACACGAGAAGCAAAGAGTATGTATACGTCTACTGCAGGCAAGTAAAAGGCAAGGAGGGTTCATTTAACAGTTAAATCATTGTCCATATGAGTCATCCTGCAATATCAACTAAACTGTTAAAAGGATCTCCTTCTTCCCACAATCCTTGCGTTTTCACGGATAGCATAAATCCGAAGCATAAAAACAATGTTTAATGTTTAAACACATTACCAGTCAGAGAAATATGAACAGTATCAAGAGCATACAGCAAAAACAAGTCAGGCAAGCCTAAAACAAAAAGTTATATTCATTACTCATTATCCCAAAACAGGCTGTTCATAAAAACAAAATACATGGTTCTACTTCCTCTTCGGATCAAATGGAGTAGATTCAAAAGCATCCAATACATTAGGACTTGAGGTAGGAGGAGTTGAAGCCGCAGGAGCAGGGGAGCTAGGAGTACCTTTCAGGTGTGCCTTCACCATCTCGGCAAAGCGGATTTCAGCTTCCAAAGCCTCTGGCCCTTCATCGTATGGGAAGTGCACCCCCACCTGCTTGTCAAAAGCGTCCGGATCCATCATCTTAGGGCCTGAGCCCTGATTATAGCCAGACCGGAATGCTTTAGCACTAGCCAGGTGCGCCAGACAGGAGTAGCGCCCTTGCATTTGCTTCCCTGCCATGAAGCAAGTAGTAAGAGCCTCGGTCAGGCGTTGAACCTCGGCCTGAAGAGAATTCACCTTAGCCTCAGAGGCTGACAACTGCCTCTTATACGCATCCTTGGCTTCAGAAGCTATCTTCAGATTGGTAGAGGCAGTAGTGGCTCTCTTCTCTGCGTTGTCAAGATCCTTTTCCAACTTCTTGATGGAGAGGGATTGAGCTTCAGCAGTGGCGCAGAGGGCCATGGTGTGATATAGACTCTGTTTAACAGGGAAGCAAATATAAGCATAAATAGAAACACAAGCAAGCAAGAGTAACATAATTCTGAAGGAGCAATGCGAACCTCTATGGCCCGGACTGGGGCAGAGGGGAGTAGTTGCTCCAACCCCATTTGGCTGATGGCCTCCTCGTCCTTTGGGAGCCACATTCCTCGAGCCACCGCCAGTGCAGCTGAAGGGTCTGTAATCACAGAATCCCCTAAGTGCAGGACTGACCTATCAGCCCTGGTGAAGGAAGGAGTCCAAGGAGTCCCAATTTCAGCTAGAACAAAGGCCCTGACTTCATCTTCAGGTTCGGCCTCTCCAGCCTTTTTTCCTCTGCTTTTAGGAGGGACCTTGCCCTTGCCAGAGGATGAGGGGTTGAGGTGAGATTTCTTCATTGGTGGTTCCTCAACCTCCACCTCATCCTCAGTTGATCTAATAACGACCAAGGGCTGGGCATCTTCGGCTTTCTTTTTTAAAGCCTCAGCCCTTCGTATCTCCTCCTCAGTCATGGGAAAACTGTCAAAGGATGGTAGAAACAGATCCATGAGGTCTGCAGCAACGGCACTGGAGGAAATGTCCTTGAGGTTTGAAGAAGTTAGCAGGTCCTCGATAGGCGAGGGGTCACTCTAGACTCGTTCCTCAAGAAAAGAAAGTCTGTTCCTTGCTGCGGAGGATGGGAATGTAGCTGAAAAAACACCAAGAAACTCATAAATACGTCGAAACATTAAGACTTGGCAAGGAAAACAGCCAGAACACTTGGTATGAAGGGAGGTTAAATATTCTATACCTAATTTCCCGAACTTGCACGGGATGGGAAGCACAGTTGATTGGGACACGAACCATTTCCCTTTAACTATAACCATCCTTTCTTTCCATTTCTTTTCGGATGAAGGAAGGTTCGTGCATATCCTCTGATGAAGGGGAGAAGTAAAAAAGAAGCGACCAGGCTCGGTCCCATACTTAGATATATTGTAAGTAAGCAAAAGGTCGGCAAGGGTCAAATCCAGAGCCTCTAATTTTCGGCGCACCAACAGTGCCGAAAGGATGCGAAAGAAATTAGGGTTTACCTGAAGGGGGGCAAGACCCAGCTTATTAAACACTAAATGGTAGAAGGGATGAAGAGGGAATCGGAGGGCGTTAAGATGCCCCACCGAAAGAAGCAACTCATCCTCCTCAATTCCCTCGCCGGAGGTAAAATCGGCACCCTCGGGATATTCTGCAATTTCTACTCCCTCAGGAATATCAAATTCTTCCATTACCGAAGCAATAGAGAACTTGATGCGGCGAATAGAGATGATTGCTTTCTTCTCGTCATGAGTAAGAACATAATCAGAGCCTGAGGTAGATGTCTCGGTTGGAAGAGGGGAAGTACCTAATGGATTCGATAAAGGGCGATTTGTAGAAACCCTAGGAGGGGGAGCCCTAATGCGAACGGGGGAAGATGAAGGTGTGGATTCAGAATCCCCAAGGTCTATACGTTCGGGAGTAGATGAAGTACTCATAAGGAAAGATTGAAGAGAAAGATGCGAGACTAACCTAACAAAGCGATGGAATGAAGAACGCAGAAGTGCAGCAAGGGCAAATGTAACTCTTGCAAAATCTTGTACGTCGGAGTAATAATGAAAGACCTCGAACCGTTTCTGAAGCAAAGTAAAAAACCGGTTTCAATTCCCTCTTTAATAGGAGCCGTCGCTCAATTAAAAACGAAATTTGGGGCAAAGTGTGGAGGGAAAAAAACTCCCTCCAATAAAAAGCGCACACGTCACCACTACCCATGTCTACATTCCAAGGACATATAAGGCCCATCATGCTCAAGCCCAAGTTGAGGGTATTTACAGCCCAAGACCATTGTCACTTGTCCTCCAACTTCCATCAAGGTCGAATCAAGAAGTCATCAGCCCAGCTTATGAGTATTTAACATCCGGCCTGTTACTCAAGCCCAGCCGGATCAAAATATATTCAGCCCAAGAATGCACAAGTCCTACCATTTAAAGGATTTACTGTAGAAGGAAAATTCTGATAGGAAGTTCTGTACAAGGCAAGTTCTATGTATGGAAAATTCGACAATGGAAAGAACTCTATTAGAAAAGAATGGTTATATAGAAAGAATTAGAGGGCAAGCAAGGCGAGTCGTACCATAATTTTGCAATCTTTTGTGTATAAATAGAGGCTAAGACCTCCAATAAAAGATCAAGCAATTCTACGCTTCTCTACACACTGTTCTTATTTAGTTTTATTATTTTTGAGTGAGTTGTTTTATTTTTCTCAATCATTATTGGTTGAGCGAAATTTTGCACCTACAGTGGTGATGATGTTTCGGATCCAAACTGTGAAATAAGAGAGGTTGAGTTTAAAAAGAAGTTAGAATATGCTGAGACCCCTTTATTTCCAGAATGCACAAAGTATACGGTTATGTCTGCAATTGTTGCCTTATACAAGCACAAAGCAACAACTAGTTTATCCGACACTGGTTTTGATGGACTTTTTCAAATGTTTGGGGATATGCTTCTAGAAAATAACAAACTTCCTAAGAGCTATTATGAAACGAAATTTTTTTTGAAGACATTTGATTTAGGATATGAGAAAATAGATGCTTGTAAGAATGACTGTTGTCTGTTTAGAAAAGAGAATAAGCACATGACTAAATGCCCAAAATGTGGTGCTTCGCGGTGGAAAGAGAATGAGTGTACTAAGAAGGTTAAAAATGGTGTCCCAGCTATGGTGTTGCGGTACTTTCCAATAGTACCAAGGTTTAGAAGAATGTTTCGATCCCCTGAAATAGCAAAACAACTAACGTAGCATTCAACTCATAGAAGTGGGGATAGAAAGATGCGACATCCGGTTGACATGCCTGCATGGCATACGATAGATAAAAAATGGCCTTCTTTTGCATCAGATTCACGAAATTTAAGACTTGGCCTTTCAACTGATGGGTTTAATCCATTTGGTGACCTTAGTTCGGCATATAGTTGTTGGCCAGTAACATTGGTGGTATATAATCTTTCGCCACTTGAACTCATGTCTAAAGAGAATATGATGTTGACATTACTAATCCCAGGGCCGAGGCAACCGGGAAATGATATAGATGTGTATTTGGAGCCACTTATAGATGATTTAAAAGAGCTATGGGAGAAAGGCGTGGAAATTTATGATGCATTTGCAAAGTCCACATTTAATTTGAAGGTAATCTTGATGTGGACAATTAGTGACTTTCCAGCTTTTAGTAACCTCTCTGGTCATGTTACAAAGGGTAAAAAAGCTTGTCCAACATGTAGTGATGACACATGTTCAAGGCGGTTGAATTGTAGCACCAAGACCGTTTACTTGGGTCACTGTCGATGGCTATCTCCTACTCACCCATTTCGAAAAAAGAAGAGTTGGTTTGATGGGAGTGAAGAACATAGGTGGAAGCCTAAAATATTGTCTGGGACTGAAATTCTTCATGCTGTGAAAAATATTAAAAATGATTGGGGTAAAAAGTGAAGGGAAAATTACATATCAAACCAAAAATTGGAAAGAGGAAACAAAAGACAAAAAAAGACGAAAATGTGGCGTGGAAGAAAAAATCCATATTTTTTGAATTACCGTACTGGGAGGTAAGTATTTGTTATAGAAAGTCGTCTAGTTTTTTTTTTTTAAAAAAATAAAATATTATTTATTTAAGTTTATAATATGTTTTAAAAAAACTATTATTCCATTATTTGTGTTTTAGGTATTACTCGTTCGCCATAACTTAGATGTCATGCATATTGAGAAGAATGTTTGTGAGAGTATTATTGGCACCCTATTGAACATAAAAGGAAAATCAAAGGATGGACTCAAGTCTCGTAGGGATTTGGAGGAAATGGGCATCAGGGGGGATTTGGAGGAAATGGGCATCAGGGGGGATTTGCACCCACAAGATTCAAAAGGGAAACATTTCTTGCCACCAGCACCTCATACACTAAAGAAGGAAGAAAAACAGCTTTTTTGTAAGCGATTACAACAATTAAAGCTACCAGACGGCTATAGTTCCAACATTGGGACACATATATCATTGGATGAATGCAAGGTTGTAGGCTTGAAATCTCATGATTATCATGTCCTAATGCAACAATTACTACCGGTAGCGTTACGGGGAATTCTACCAAAGGCTGTAAGGAATGCCATATTTCGCCTATGCGCATATTTTAATGAAGTATGCCAAAGGGTGATTGATAGGAACTCAATGGAAAGACAGGAAAATGAAATTGCTGAGACATTGTGTATGTTAGAAAGATTTTTTCCTCCATCTTTTTTCGACATTATGATTCACTTGACTATTCACATCGCACGCGAAGCTCGTATTTGTGGACCAGTACAATTTCGTTGGATGTACCCATTTGAGAGGTACTAATATCAACTTTTCCTTCTTTTATGGAGTTAGATATTTAATATTATAACATATATATAATTTATTTTGTTTTTATGTGTTTTAAGATGATGAAGGTTTATAAAGGATATGTTAGAAATAGGGCGAGACCTGAAGGATGCATAGCTGAAGGCCATTTGGCTGATGAGTGTGTGAAATTTTGTAGTGAGCACATCAAACAAGCTTCTAAAATAGGGGTGAGACATTCTCGAAATGAGGATTTTGAAGGTGAGGCCGTCCAATTTCGAAAGGAATTTTGAAAGTCATGTCAAATGACATGTTACAAATTGCTCACCGTTATGTCTTGTTCAATAATGCAGAGGTGGAACCGTACACAGGGTAAGTATGATATCTTCAGGACTTATTAATTTGTTATAAAAATAACAATGAAAACTTACCAATAGTGTTTACCTCACAGAAAACATTTGGAGGAGCTTAAGCAGATGGACAGGCGTCTCATAAGGAATGCAAGCGCATTACAAAAGAAACATATGGAGACTTTTTGTTTGTGGTTTGCAAATGAAATTAGTGTAGCTGGTAATGATGTGTCCGATACACTTATGTGTTTTGCAAATGGGCCTAGAAGAGAAGTCATTTCACATTCGGGATATATTGTTAATGGACAATGATTTCACACCAAGGATGTGGAGAGAAGCACACAAGATAGTGGTGTTTTGCTTGAAGCGGAAACTATATGTCAATCTAGTGCAAGAGATACAAATCAAGTTATAGGAAAAGTATCTTACCATGGTGTTTTAAAAGATATACTTTTGTTAGATTACCACACATTTAAAGTGCCAATCTTTGATTGTGAGTGGGAAAACATTAGAAATGGCATCAAAGTTGAAGATGGATTTGTATTAGTTAACCTTCATGAAGGTCAAAGTCAGTTTCAAAGTGATCCCTTTATTCTTGCTTTACAGGCTAAGCAAGTTTTTTATTCAAGGGAAGATGAAACATCTAATTGGTATGTTGTACTTAAAGCGCCGCCAAGAGGTTTTAATGACTTGGAGTCTTTTGAAGAAAATAGTTATGTGTCTTCTATGCCATTAGATGTATCAAGATTGGATTCAAATGATGATGATGATGGCAATGAAGAGTATGTGCGGTTGGATTGTGAGGGCATGACCGTGTAGATGTATTAAGATTTTACTGGAAGTCATTTTATTTTATTTTATTTTGGGACTTTGTTTATGTAATAGCCTTTTACTGTCTTATGTTACTTAAATCAGGTTTTTCGCATTCTATTGTAGTGCTTTATGACATGTCTTCTTATAACTTTACACCTGACTCACTCTTTTTATCTTTTAAATACTACTCCATATAGGCTTTACTTTTGTTTAAATAACTTGTACACATGTTTTGTGGGTCTATCTGAAGGTGTGGGTCTATCTGAAGGTGTAAAACACCCTTAATATCATCTATATTTGCAAGAACATATATGTATTTTTTATATTTAAACATTCTTATGCATCTTGTATTGTCTGGACCCTGAGTTCTATCACCAATACACTAATATGCAGGGGAAAAATGATATGTAATGTTATGCTTGAAATATCTATGGCTTGAAATACTTTGTTTTTTTTTTTTTTTCTGGAACTTTTTGTTTTTCAAAATAGGTCATTCTCATTATAAGAGCAAAGGAGTAAGAATTGAAGAGGGAAAAAGATAGATAAATTTCAGCATGCGTGGTCCCGCAGAAGTAAGTAATTAATATATCGATTTTAAATTATAATTTTATTGCCTCGTATTAAATTTTAATGGTTTTTCTTATTTTCTTATCTTACATATTTTCTCATATAAAGTCCTCTAAAGTTGGTGCAAAAAGAGGACTAAGAGAGAGGAATTGTATTGTGGCAGCATTAAGGACTTCAGGAAATGAGGGAATTACTATATCAGATCGAGATTCAAACTCACCCCATACACAGTTAGGTGGACAATCTAGAGGTTCTAGCTGCGTTCCAATCGATCATGATAGTGGAAGCACCTCGGCAAATGATGCTTCAATAACTCCCTCTACTCACAAGGGTCCTCATAAGGGTAGGAAGTCCATCAATATTAGCAAATGCAGTAGTAAATGATAACGAGTCACCACTTCCGATTGAATTCAATGAAAGAGGGCGCAACCAATTGGTGAGAATAGTAAAAAAAATTCTACTAGCATCGGAATAATAGCACGACAGAATGTTCCAATTAGCTCAAAAAAGTGGAAAGAGGCTTCAGCTGAGAAAGAAAGACTCATATAGACATCTATAAAGGTATGTTCTTTTCTTGCATTTTATGTGATATATTTGTTTCATTATAGGTATTTGACCTAAGATTCAGTTTTAGAATTATAATTGAAATAAAAGTGATGACCAAATTTAATAGCACACACCACAATTCATAATTGGACCTAAGCCATTAATGATAGGAAATTTTCCCAAAAACTACTGATTGTTTGATTTTTACACTAAATGCAGCAAAAATTTGAAGTCCCTGATTTTCATAAAAAGGATGCTTTTAGAAGAATGGGAAAGAGTTGGGGTGATTATAGAACACGCCTTACAACCAACATATATAAGTCAAATGAAGATACAGAGGCTATTGATTCATTAAAGCCTGACAGTATACAATCAATCGATGAGTGGCAACAGTTTGTGAGTAATCGACTTTCTGATGACCACAAAGTAAGTAAAATATTGATCAAATTACCACAACTCTAATAACTTTCTTCTTTAGAAATTAGTAACTATATTATTTGTTTATAGCGAAAGAGAGAAAAATTTCAAGAATTGCGAAAGAAGCAAAAGATGCCTTACACAACAAGTCGTAAGGGGTATGCTCGTCTAGAGGATGAAATGGTAAGTAGAACTAATTATTCCATCTTTCTTTTCTTCTTTCATCCCATGAATGGATCTTATTGTTTGATTTTGTACATGTGTCAAACATATTTTGTATCGATATTTTGTATTTAATCATGTGCTTTGGAAGCTTAATTGTGCATTATTAGTGGAAATTTCAGCTCAAAGTATACAACACAGGAAATCTAAGCTTCAATTCTCTACACCAATAGGGATACAACTTTCAAACCACAATGCATCTTCTCTTGATGCTCAAAATAGATTCCCATAGTCTTGTCTTAGCCTTTTCTGTTTTAGGGGCACTTTACTAATTCTGTGGCTGGTCCTTCTTGAAACTAGCTTCCACAGCTTACAATCATCATATAACACATGCTTCAATTACCACAACTCAGTTTTTAACAAGTTAGTAATAAGTCACAACCCAAACCAAGCTTCACAATTATTTTCTACAGCAGTGATGTTCTCAGGGACAGAATTGTAAATTTGCTGTGGTACATCTCAATTCTCGATTCTCCTATTCATATAATATCAAACTAGAGGTGCTCAGATGAAAATTATGTCAACTACACTCAAGTATGACAGTCACAACACTCACAGCAGGCCATTAAATTTAAACAAAACCTGATTTGTTAAGTCTATTAGGCCTGAAACTATAAAGGTTATTTTTCTGATATGTAGCTTAGATTGTACAGCTCTGTATCATCATTATAAGCATGATCAAGCAACAATAATGCATGTAACATAAAGATGTATCACTTTTAAGTTCACATACAACTGCAATGCATTAGAAATTAAATATAGAGCAGGTTTGAGATCTGAGAATTGATACCAGCTCTAGAGTTGTTGTTTTTGTGGCTTCCTGCAGATGTAAATCACCAACTTATACTTGCTCAGCCCTTGTCTCAGCTCCAAAAAAGACCCTCAGCACTCATATATGTATTTGAGACCCTCATTTTATACTCTCAGCCCTCTTTGATTATCTTTGAGACCCTCATTTTATACTGAATTTAGGGTTGAATTTCAGCTCAAATGATCATTTAAAATCTCTGTAAACCTCTCTTATTCTTTGGTCTTGAGTCCTCTTCAGCAGCCTCTCAAATGTAGCTCAAATAGAGCTAAGAACACACATTTCTGTCCTCTTTAGCACAGCCTCTCTTGTAATCGCTGCAGCACTCGTGTAAGTATTTGAAAAAAATTTTATTAGCAAATTTTACACAAATATTATACTAACTTGTACAATATTAACATGTTCTATTATCTGTACACAAATATTGTTCCTGTGTAGAGAAAAAAAAGTGATGCACTGATAAGCGTCGAATATTGTATATTCAAGCGCCTTAAATTGCATTAATTAAGTCCTTTATTTGATTATTGTATGTAGATTATCTTCATTTCTATGTTTTTATGCATTTTTAGGTTCCTTGGCCCAAAAGGAGCAAAAATAAGGTGTTGTGGATTTTTGACCATCAAAAGGCACAAGGCTGAATTTCTAACAGCGGTGGAGTTAGGACTTTGCTAGCCATTTTGACCTTGCAAACTCGAGAACTGGACTTCCATTATAAAATGGCATATTTAGAGCTCTGAATTAGCTTTCTAAATCTTCAAATGGTTTGTCATTCGGAGCTCAGAGCAGAGAGTTATGGCCTTGTTACCAGAGGTGTGTAGAACTGCCTGGCAACAATGAAATTCTGCCTTGATCTTCATTTTCGACCAACCATCCTTGAGAACTGGATCTCCACCAAAACATGAAGTATTTAAAGCTCTTAATTAGCTCTCCAAATATTCAAATGGTTCATCATTCGGAGTTTGGAGCGCAAAGTTATGGCCATTTCATCAAAGTAGGTCTGGGCGGAGCAAGTGAAGCATGGAGCTTTTTACACTAAATTCGAGTGCTCGAGGCCTTGCTTCGAGTGCTCAAATTTTGGACAGAATGCCCTTCAGAAATGGCTCATTTCAGCCCACTTGCACCTTGGTTTCTTCATTTTGTTTTCCTCTTTAATGAAGTGGTTGGAGATGTTGGTTGGTAGCCTCTTGGAGTGGATAAGATATCTAATAAAGGGAAGCAAGGCCACACAAAAAATCATTAAGCTTCATTTTGAGAAGATTGGGGAGAGAAGAGAGCAAGGAGATAGTGTTCTTCAAGCTTGAAGAAGGGAGCACGAAAATGGAGGAGGTCTTCAAGCTTCTTCCTTCTTCCATTGCTCCTATGGGTAACTAAATCTTCTCTAGGGAGGTGATGAAGCCTCCTCTTTTGATCATGTTCTAGATTAGGCTATACTTTTGGGGACTATAATGTATAATGTATGGTAGTTTCATAGTCTAAGAGCATTTCCTTCTTGTAATGAATTTTAATGTGTAAATGGTTGATGTAAGTTCATTGTCATATCTTTGATGATTCTTGGATCAATCTTATTGCTTTTATTTTCATAGTGACAATGAAAATATAGACTATGAATGTTTTTCAAGGCATGTTGATTTTGAAACTTGATATTCCATTGCTTGGGTACCTCCTTTGATGGTTTATACTTGATTCCTACCTTCATGTGCTTCACCATTTGATTGAAAGATTGATGGTCTTTTGCTTGAGATAGTGTATTTGATTCTACACCTTAGTTTAAGTAGTTCAACTATGGTAGCTTTTGATGGATCATTCTTGTTTTGATTAAGTGAACTTCTTGATGATTATTAAGCAACGGAGTTGCTTCATATTTCTTGACCATTGCATATATGCTATTTATCCCCAAATTTAGACCTAATCTAGCATGTACTTAGGGTGTAGTGTGGATTCATCTCCCTAGTCTTTTCTACTTGTAGCTCACTTCTTCAATTTCATTGCAATCTATTGTTTTATGCATTCTAATTTCTTAGTTTAGTGACAAACACACAAACCCTTTATAAACCCCTCATCACTCTAAAATGACTTTAGATACTTAGGTTGCCTTAAGACTAGCGCAGTCCCAGTGGTTCGACTTACCCGTCCAATAGCCCTATTTTACAATGATTCGTGCTATTGCGAAGAGGGTTGATTTATAATTGATTTCGACAGTCGATTAATTTTTGGCGCCGTTACCGGGGACTGCAAACAATTTAGCGACCATAGTTCTAGGGTTCAATTTAGTTTGATTGTGAATACTGTGTTTTGTGAATATTTCTTATGTGTTTTAACCATCTTTGTGTTGTAAGTGAGATCCTAGGGACTCGAAGCTCGCCGTGGGAATGCTAGCAAATTGTGAGTCTAGAGGACCCCAGGTAAGTCTCGTGACTTCTAGTTTCGAATTGTGGATATTGTGCAT